AAAACAAAAAAAAAAAAAAAAAGAATGTCTGCTTCATATATTCAAGATGCAAAGCATCTGGGAAGAAAGCCCACCCCTGACTCTCCAGGGGCGAGACTGGCTCTGTTCCCAAATCTCACCTGAACCCAACTGTTCTACCTGGGCCCTGGTGGCCCTCCAGATTCTCAAACCATTCAACCTGCTCCTAAAACTAGCTTTCCTTACTGGCTTTCTTCTTCAGCAGCAGCAGAAAACAAAGGAGAGCAGTTCCCAAGTTTCCTTTGTGCATGGCATCCTTGGTATCTCACTAATTTTGTCACCATGCCCCCAAACCAAAAGTAGTACTTACAAGTTTCATTTCCTGAGAGCTTAGATCCAAACATCTATGTACGTACGAATGTTCTAGCAACTGACATACCACATGAAGCATAATTTACATACTTTTTTCAGATAATTTTTCATTTCTCTCGGAACCTCAATAATGGAATGGAATAATGAGCCTGTTGGGCACTTCTGATGCCCTAGAATGCAAATGAATATCACCACCCTCATCTCCTGTTCCTCATTGATTTTCCCCTAGCACTTGCTTTTTATTATAAGAACCACCAAAAACCCAGCTTTACAAAGATATGACAGCACTGAAAGGAATGTGCCAGTACGATGCTGACTCTGCAAACTACCTCAAGCTGGGCGTTTATGTGATGTCCAACAATCCTAGCGTATAACTATGCTCCCCTCAAATTTTTAAATATTTGATGATACCACTGTGAAGACATCATGGTGTACCAGGGCACCTCGGCCACAGTTCGGGAACCACAGGGTTAGAATGACAGTGGGAACATGTCTTGGGAGATGGCTGTGGTAACGGCCCCCGTGCATCCTGTCTATCTCTACCCCGCAGTTGCGTAATCTCCTCCACAGTGACTTGAGCCAATGTGATTTGCTCTATGTCATTGAATCTATAAGGAAGCCTGTTTTAGGAACCATAGTTATAACATTATAATTATATAGTTCTAACATTAAATAATAATCTGTAAGGAAAATGTTAAGTCTTAATTTGTTTTTCAAAAAGGTCAACAGAATTCCTTCTGCAAGAATGATATTTAAAAAGAGGTCAGGCAGGCCAGGTGGCGCACACCAATAATCCCAGCATTCTAAGGCTGAGGCAGGAGAATCACAAGTTCAGGCTCAGCCTAGGCAAAGATGCTGGGGACATAGCTCAGTGCTAAGGACCTGTGTTCAATCCTTAGAAAAAATAAACAAATATAAATAAATAAATAAAGTCAGGCCACTGACCACTGTGACCACAGTGCCCAAAACACAACAGCAAACTCAGAAAAAAAGTGAAAACGACCTCCCACGTACAAACAGAGGTCCACCACAAGATGCTGAATCTTGATGTTAATCAGACCTATTCCCAACCAAGCACTTGAATAAGGTAGCAGTCTCAAAAGCTCCAGATTACATGGATTCTTCCCTGGAACAGTTTTCAGTGGGAGGTTGGGCAGAGGCAGGTAAACCAGCAGTCTAAACTCCACAGGCATGGTCTTGAGAGTACAGCAACCAGGAGGCACTCACCATGGTTTAATGGGCACAGAGAACATTATATTCCACAGCATAATAAAAATATTCTTATATATTCTAATATTCAGGGAACTGAACAAGAAAATGCTGAATATTAATTGAAATAAATTGGAAATTCTTCAACAAGGTTTCTATTTAAAATGATAAAGAAACTTGGTATAGGCTCTTCAGTTAATGTTAGTTATATAAAAAAATTCAGATATGTAGAAAATTCCACTTCCCAGGAGCCACTGTAAATGAGAATAATTTTAGCATCTCTGTGAATCAAAGGTGATCCTGTGAGCCAGTTCCCCTTGACCTTGTTATTACCCACAGTTTCATTCTCTTCAGTGAGAGGATTCTTCTATCCTTCAACAGCCTCATGATGACTGAGCCTTTGGCTTTCCTCCTACAGTGGTTTCAGCCTCCTGGGAAGGAATCCGAATAGGGTAGTAGAGGAGTGAGCTCATGTGAGCCCCCAGGTGAGCTTCTTTCTGACCAGGTGAAGCTCTGAAGGCCAGGTAGGGAGGTGGAGTGAGTAGCCACAAACCACCAGCAGCTCTTGTCCCGCGAGAGGTGTCTCTATAAGGGAAGTGTTCACCTAGGAAAAGCTGACCCAGTTGTGGACCTCCTGCCTGTGACCAAGACCATGGTTACCTCCAGCAAGAAAACCGCCAAGAGACAAAGGAATAAGATAAAGCATGAACCGCCATCATTAACATTCAAACAGCCATAAATACAGCATATACAGGGGTAAACTGCAATTAGCCCATTTTTATTTTACTCCTAAGAACAGTGGTTATGGAATCTTTAAAAATATACAGATGAGGTCTGCGATCACCCGGCGGCGTGTGCGCGAGCTCCCGGCCTGCGCGGGAGCTCCCGGCCTGCGCGACAACAGACCCAGGAAGGAAGGTAGCCGCGCGGGCGCCCTTGAAACACCCACACGACCCCCCCCCCCGCACTCAACATCCCCGTCC